ACCGGCAGGCCACCCCCCAGGCACGCGCTTGGAGCGCTGGTGCCTGGAGCCGCCGCTGCAGTGGGGGGAGGAATAGCTGCAATTGCTAGCCTGCCGGCAGCTGCTGCACAGAGAACTTAGGGGAGCGGGGAGCTGATAGAGGGGCTGCCGGTCCACCCTGGTTCCAAGCCCCCACCAGCTAGCTGCAACAGGCTGTTCTTCCTGCAAGCAGTGGACAAAGCAGGCGGCTGCCAAACGACGTTAGAAGGGAGCATTACACAACTTTAAAGGAGCATGTTCCCTAATTGATCAGCAACAAAACAATGTTAACCAGGACGACTAAGTGAGGAGTTACTGTACTTAGACTCTTAGGTTGTAGCATCTTTGGAGCAGGGACTAATTGTTCATAATGGGTGTTCAGCACTTGGTCCCATGGGGCCCTGATCCCAGATCAGCACATGTTAATTCTACACATTACAAATAAATCATAACAAGGAGCTGTGTCCAGCCCTCCTCTACTAGAGACAATGCTGCAGCAAGTGTAGCAGCACTAATCTGGATATCTAGGTGTAGATGAGGACATGCGGGAATGGCATAGATTAAGTTAATCAGGCTTCATCTCTGCTTTGGGTTTTACCCCTGACTGAAGCCTTTCCCAACAAAGATCAGTTTGGATCATTATTGTGAGATCATTTGTATAACCATGTTTTTAACCAGCATCTCAGTAATAATAAAATGCTGAGAACATTTCTTCCCTTGCTTCCCTGACAAATACCATTTTAACAGAGAATCTCTTGTCCCCAGGAGCATCTGGTTGAATTTGCCTATTTCACCCATTGCCCCTTCACTTCCCTTTTTGTGCATGTTTATGGACCAGGTGTGAATTTTCATCCCTGAGTCCAATTTGCATATTTCACACCCATGTGACCTCCCCCTGCTGCGCTGAATGATTACAAATGTTCCAAGTCACTTGTTACCGTTTGTTGATCAGCATCGGGCCACTCAGACATATCAAGATGATCTCCCAGAAGGGTGACCATATCACACAGCTGAAATATCGGGACGCGGGGGCCCACAACAGCAAGGGAAAAAAAAAAAAAAGAGGCGGCCGGAGCTCCACGCCCTGCCCCACCCGCACCAACATGCCTCCGCTCCGTCTCCACCTCCCCCCTCCCTCCAGCGCTTGCGCTGCCATACAGCTGATCAGCGCAAGCCTGGGAGGGAGGGGTGAGGAGGAGGAATGCGGCGTGCTAGGGGAAGAGGCGGGGCCAGGGCGGGGATTTGGCAAGGGATCCAATGGGGCAGTGAAGGGGCAGGGCTGGGGGCGTGGGGCCAGGGAGGGGATTTGGGGAGGGATCCAATGGGGGAAGGAGGGGGCGGTGTTGGGGTGGGGGGGCGCGAGCCCGCTCCGCCTCTGAGCAGAGGCAAAAGATCGGGACAATTCGCGTCCCAACCGAAGGTAGGTCGGGACGTGGGACAAATAAGCAAATATCGGGCCAGTCCCGATAAAATGGTCACCCTATCTGGCTGGAAGTGCTGTGGATCCAGCGTAAAAATTAAACCAAGAGGGAACAGGACAAATTAAAAGTATTATTGGCCTTTAAAGGAAAATGAAAAAAAGAGTCAGAACTCTAGTCTATCAAGTCCTGAATATTCCTCAGAGTTGCACCAATCCCATAGCCCTGTGGTTAGGGCACCCACCTGAGATGCAGCAGATCCCTGTTCAAATCCCTTCTCTTTGTCAGGCAGACAGGGGACTTGAATAGAGGTGGGGAACCACAACCCAAGTGAGTGCCCTAACCACTGACAAGCTCCAAAGCTTTTTATCCACAGGGCTTCCACCCGTCCCTCTGGGATCCCAGGCCGGTTCAGTGGCAGTGGGGTCTGGCGCTGATTTCACTCTCGCAATCAGTAGCTGATGATTCTGGAAATTATTACTGTCAGCACCATCTCGGAAGTGATACAGAGCAGTACAAAAACCTCCCTGCTTACTTCAGTTTCTGTTCCTCACTGTAACATCTGCTTCCTATACAGTGTGACAGTACCAATGCAACTGCTGTCCTTTCATAAGGAAATGGGGTCTGTCAGACTTTGGGCTTTTCACTCAAAACAAGCTTCTTAGATTCTGGCTCAAAGTTACCAAGGATACAGACACACACACACTGGGTATTGCATTAAAGCATATCTTGATAACAAGGCCAAAGCCAATTCCCTGTGTGCAATACTCAGCTCCATCAACAGGAGTTGCACTCGGAGCCTGAGGGCTATACGAGGCCCTTTCTTCGCACTGGGGCACAGGGAATGGATCTTTACACAAAAAGAACAGGAGTACTTGTGGCACCTTAGAGACTAACAAATTTATTAGAGCATAAGCTTTCGTGGGCTACACTCAATATGCATCCGAAGAAGTGGGTTGTAGCCCACGAAAGCTTATGCTCTAATAAATTTGTTAGTCTCTAAGGTGCCACAAGTACTCCTGTTCTTTTTGCGGATACAGACTAACACGGCTGCTACTCTGAAACCGATCTTTACACAGAGTGGCTGCTTTGCATGCTTCCACCCACACGACGGTTCCTTGCAATGCAGGGCACATATAAAAGTGTTATTTGCTAGACTTGCTACCTTAGATTCTCACGGTCTGTCAGACTAGAGGGAGCAAAATGATTTCACAGATTCATCTCATCTGTCTCCTAGGTCTCTGGATTCAGGGTAAAATCAAGGGAGATACTAGATTAAGATGATAATCTCTCCCCAATATTTATGGTATATTTCTTCATCAAACCTACATTAAATTCTTCATCCCATGAGATCACAGGCAGATAGATTTTTAGTGGACACAAACAATGTAACTAGGTGGTTAAATAAAAATTAGACACTAGATATTTGCAGATTTATTTTTATAATAGTATTTCATTTGTTTATTCTTGTGTTTTAACTCTCATCCAGATGCCAGTGGGCAGACTGTGATGACTCAGACTTCAGAATCCCAGGCAGTGTCTCCAGGAGACAGAGTCTCCATCAACTGCAAAGCCAGTACCAGTGTTAGCAGCTACATGGCCTGGTACCAACAGAAATCAGGACACGCTCCTAAGCTCTTCTTATATAGTGCTTCCACCCGTGTCTCTGGTGTTCCAGACCGGTTCAGTGGCAGTGGGTCTGACACTGACTTCACCTTCACAATCAGCCACGTAGAAGCTGATGCTGCTGGAGATTATTATTGTCAAGGCTATAACTCTCACAGTGATACAGACAAATACAAAAACCTCCCTGCTTTCGTTGGTTTCTGTTCCTTACTGTAACAGCTGTTGCCTGTAGAAAATCAGAGTATTCTCTCCAACTGCTGCTGCCTCAAAGTGATGGAGTGTCCATGAATTTCAAACACCTCACCCCACCATTAATGTTTTCCTTCCATTTCTACAGCTCCCTCGCTGCAGTAGCGCAGAGACTGGAATTTACAGGGTGATTCTTAATATATTCAGTGGCTTCCTTTTAACTACTGAGGAGTATTAGCTCTTATAGGCTGGATCCAATTTCCTACTAACATTACAAAAAAGACCAACATATAAAGGATCCAGAAATTACTTTCATAAGCAGAATGAGCAGAGTGACTGCCTCCCTCCCCATACAAGCCCCAAAGCAGGTGCCCCCCTTTCCACAACATGGTGCATGCATGTCCTTAAGGCTGGTCTCAGATGGGACAGAGAGAAGGATTGTCTACACTACATTTCCTGAATCACTTCTCTATGGTCCAATAACCTACAGCTTCTGGTCCTTATTTCAGACAATATCAAATAGGAGAGAAAAAGAGCTGACCCCAGTTCAGTTTCTGGCTTGTAACCATTGCACATCCTCACCACCAAGGATAAAAGGATTGCAGGCTGTGGCTAGTAGTAAATCATCACACTTCTCCTGCCTTTCCCCAGGCCCTTCCCCAGATAGCCCACACACACTGACATACCTAGATTCCCTGCAGTGATGGTAGTGTTTCAGTGTATGGCTTAATAGAAACACAGAACAAACAACGATAGTATTTGCTTAGGTCAGAGCAACGACCAGACAAACCCTCCCAATAGCACTATCATCCCATTTTACAGAAGGAGCCACTGAGACCGAAGGGTGCAGGAATGAGCCTAGAAGAGTTCAGTATCAAAAGCTTACGGGGTCTATTTCCCATCTCATCCACTAACTCACTAGGAAGCTTTGGATGCACATTTCTCTCTACCTCAGTTTACTCATCTTCTAAAACAAAGATCTCTCCCTTTACAATGTATGCTCCTCAGGACAGGGGACGCCAACACTTAATTACTAATCAGTTGTTGGACAGAATTGTTTAGCACCACGCTCCTTTTCCACAAACATGCAACTGAATCTACCTTTTAAAGGAGGGAGAAAATAGCTCATTGGGTCAAAATAATATTTGACTAATATTACTGATTTCATCAAACAGGTTAAATACCAGATTGAAGCAAAGGACAGACTTGGAGAGGGATGGAAATTTTCTGACAAAATGGTTTTTCATTGGAAAACATCAATTCAGCAGAACTGAAACTTTTCGCAGTGTGGGTGAGGATGAGCAGGGATGGCACAGACTGGGCTAATCAGGATTTACCTCTGCTAACTGAGGATTCTCCCTGTTTGAAGACCCTCACCCCCCAGTACTGTTTCTCTGTCAAAGGTGGATCACACCATTTTGTATCACCAGTTGTGAGGAGATCTCCAGTGTAGTTGTGATATTAACCAGAAATCACAATATGCTTAGAACTTTTATTCCTTGTAATCCCAAGTAAATGTCATTTTAACACAGACCCTTGTACCCAGGAGCGACTGTTGAACTTGCCTATGTCACCCATGGCCCTTTCACTTCCCTTTTTGTACATGTTCATGGACCAGGTGTGAATTTTCATCTCTGAACCCAATTTGCATATTTCACACCCTTCCCCTGTGGTGCTGAATTGTTATAAATGCTCCGTATCACTCGTTACAGTTTGTTGATCAGCACTGGACCACTCAGACGTATCAAGATGATCTCGCAGGCTCAGCTCACCTGGCTGTTAGTGCTCTGGATTCAGGGTAAGGATTAAACCCAGAAGGAATTTGTAAAAATGATCCTTTGAAAAGCTTAAAAGAACGAGAAATGTTGTACATTGTAGATTATAGTTTATGGGTCAATCAAAATCCATTTAGTTAGCTAGCTCTTTGTGGCAGGGACTGTCACTTATTGTTTGTACAGCATCTGGCACAAACGGACCAAAACTGTTAGAGGCATTCAGGGATTACCAAAATATTAATGTTAAATAATAAACGGTTGCCAGGAATTACTCTGATTTATGAAAATCTGTATCTTATTTTAGCTGTAATTAAGACAAAGAGGTTTGAGAAAATTACGAGCCGTAGGCAAAAGGGCTAGAATGAAACAGTGTCTGGTGCTCAATGTTACCATCATGCCCAGCTGACTAGGAAGAGTCATTGTGTAAAGATTCACATGGGAATATATTAAAGGCACAATGTTGTTTAGTTTGATTGACTAGATCTGTATTTGTATTAACTTCTAGTCTCTTTGTGAATTCAGGCTCCAGTGGGCAGATTGTGATGACTCAGACTCCAGAATCCCTGGCAGTGTCTCCTGGAGACAGAGTCACCATCAACTGCAAAGCCAGTTCCAGCGTCACGGGTGGTAGCACTCATTACATAGCCTGGTACCAACAGAAATCAGGACAAGCTCCAAAGCTCCTTATCTACTATGCTTCCACGCGTGCCACTGGGATCCCAGACCGGTTCACAGGCAGTGGGTCTGGAACCGATTTCACTCTCACAATCAGCAACGTTCAAGCTGAAGATTTTGGAGATTATTACTGTCAGCAAGGCTATAGCTCACCTCTCACAGTGATACAGACCAGTACAAAAACCTCCCTGTTCCGTTCCATTCTGTGTAACAGCTGTTTCCTTCAAACAGCTGCTTTCTCAGTGCAAATGCTACACGTTATTTGGGTGCAAACTTTCAGCCCCAGAAACACATATACCTGCCCTCTCCACACTGTAATACACATAAATTAGCAGAGAGGCTGCTGCAAGAGAATCTTCCCTCCACACAGAAGCATTTTTAACTTGTCCACAACCACAGTGGCATTTTGTTTATTTCTGGCTTTAAGTTACTTTACTCGCCTCCTAATTACTGTCCTCTGGTGTCTGTGCCTTCTCGTGGGGGGACAGCTTGTGTGCTCTAACGATCCCCAGCGTCTGTGTCGGCGGGGGCTTTTTGCTCCTGGTAGATTCAGCCATGCCAGATTGGCCTGTGGGGGAGGGACCAGACAAAACAGACACCCTGGTCCTCCAGTTGGGGGTTAGGCACAGGGCTAAAAACCCTGTCCCGTAAAAAACAAAATACGTTACGGAAACAGTGATGGAGAAATCGACCATTATTGTGTGTGATGGCTTTCAGGAGTCAACAACCTATATTACTGCCAGTGGTGAAAGCCAAACGGAAGCCACTGGCATGAAGACTGAAGTGCTCAACACCAAGACAAAAAACAAACTTGTTTTTTGGAACGTATGGACAATGTACGAAACAGGAAAGCTAGCTCAGGTCCCAGCAGAGATGAGACGCTACAGCTTCCAGATCCTGGGTGTCAGCGAGAGCAGATGGACAGGATCAGAAAGATTATCAACAGCCTCAGGAGAAACTTTGCTTTTTTCTGGATGGGATGATGGACAACACCATGAGGGGGTTTCTGTCCTTTTTAAGAAGGGAGTGGAGCATTTCCTGCTTGAATGGAAATCCATCAGCAGCAGACTTATGAGAGCCGGACTGAAAGGAAAACATAATAATATCACAGTGATTCAGTGCTGTGCTCTGACAAATGACAGTGATGAAGTAGTAAAGGACAAATTCTACCTTACATTACAGGCAGAGTTAGAGAGAGTACCACGCCATGACCTAACTATTGTCATGGGAGACCTGAATGCCAAGGTCGGTAAGGAGAATACAAACGACAGAGCAATGGGAAGACATGGGTGTGGCGCCATGAATGAAAATGGAGAAAGTTTTCTTGACGTCTGTAATATGAATGACCTAGTCATCGGCGGAACTCTATTTAAACATCTTGAAATTCACAAGCTGACATGGGGTTCTCCAAATGGCAGAGATAAGAACCAGATTGACCATATCATGATCAATGGCAAATGGCGACGCTCACTGACAGATGTGAAAGTGAGAAGGGGTGCAGATGTTGGCAGTGACCACCACCTTCTGACAGCCTCCATCAAGCTAAAACTGAGAAGTGTGGGTCCACCAAACAAGGGACATAGACATTATGACATTGACAAGCTAAAGTCCCCTGAAATACAGAAAGCCTTCATTCTGCAGCTAAAGAACAGGTTTCAGGCACTTGCAGACCTTGATGAAGAGGAGGGGAATGCAGATGAGGAGATCAACTAGAAGTGGGACAAAGTAACAGCAATTTATCTAGGCTACAGGCAGAAGAGAAGGAAGGAGTGGATTACACCCAGCACATGGAATGCTATAGAAACCAAACAAGCCCTGAAGAAAAACGTTTTAGACATGAAATCCCAGAAGCTAATAGACAAATACCACGAGCAGTATAGCAAGGCACACCAGGAGGTCAAACGCTTTGTGAGAGTGGACAAATGGCATTATATTGATAATCTGGCAACACAAGCAGAAGATGCAGCTGCTTGTGGTGAACAAGGAATCTACAAAATGACGCGGCTTATAAGTTGTAAACGGCAGACACCAACAAACACTCATCAGGGACAAACAAGGACACCTACTAACAACTGAAAAAGAACAAAAATGCGCTGGACAGAGCATTTCAAAGAATTGCTGAACATGGAGCCACCTAAAGAGGAAGCAAACATCCAGGAGGCAGAAAAAGATCTTGATATCAACACAGACACCCCAATTAAGAAAGAGATCATTCAAGCCATCAAATCCTTAAAAAAATGGGAACGCTCCCAGCACGGATAACTTGAATGGAGAATTGTTCAAGGTAAATCTTGAGTTAGCAGCATCTATCCTGGCCCCCGTCTGGGAAAAAGTGCCCGATGAGAAGACCAATGAGGTTATAGTGAAGATACCAAAGAAAGGAACTCTCCCTGATTGTAATAACTGGCATGGTAACACACTTTTATTTGTGCCAAGCAAGTATCATGTAAGATCATAGTCCAGCGTATATCAGAGGCAGTCGATAGCGTTCTCAGAAAAGAGCAAGCTGGTTTTCGGAAAGGGCGTGGATGCACAGATAAGATCTTCACTCTACGAAACATAATAGAGAAATGCTTAGAATGGCAACGGCAACTCTACATAAATTTCATAGACTTTGCGAAAGCTTTTGATAGCATTCACAGGACCAGCCTACACTGCATTCTTCAGGTATATGGAATCCCTATCTGTATAATCAACATCATCAAAAGCTTTTATTTCAATTTTACAGCAGTGTTGATCACAGTGAGCTAGTTTTGAACTCAAAACAGGAGTACGTCAGGGGTGTGTCATGTCTGAAAACCTCTTCAACATTGCCATCGACTGGATAATGCAGCAAAAGACATGCCAAGAGTCATTAAATGGACACCCTTTTCATCTCTTGAAAAACTGGACTTTGCAGATGATGTCGCTCTCCTATCACATACCCAATACCATATACAAGAGAAAACAACTCGACTCAACACACTCAGCCAGCAAATTGGACTGAAAGTCAACTGCAATAAGACAGATAACATTACCTTTAATGTTGCCTCACCTCACCAGTATGGATAGAGGATTATGTTCTCACCAATGTAGAAACATGCACATATTTGGGCAGCACCATCAGCCAGGATGGAGGATCAAACCAGGACACCCGGAAGAAAATCAATAAAGCCAGGAACACCTTCAGGAGCTTAAATACAGTCTGGAAATCATCAACATAGAAAACTAAAAGCAAACTCAAGATTTATCAGAGCTGCGTACTTTCAACATTACTTTATAGTGCAGAATGCTGGGAAATGAGAAAGTATGACATGTCCAAACAGAACAATCTCAACCAAGATCTAGTCACACAGTGCAGCCAAGAGGATCTGAGCACCATCATTGCCAGGAGGCGTTGGAGATGGATTGGCCATGTGCTTCGGACGGAAACTGATTCCATCACCAGAGTGGCAAAAAGATGGACACCTGAAGGCAAGCAAAAACAAGGGAGCCCAAAAAAAACATGGTGAAGAGCTGTGGAAGCCAAGCTGAAAAACCTGGGGCACAGCTGGGGAACCACTGAAAGACTTGCCAGAAACAGACAGGAGTGGAGGAGCTTCATTGCCACCCTAAAGCGCGCCAGAGGCGATATGGGAACATAATGATGATGAATTACTGCCCTAAAAAGACTGCAAGCATTTCAGGTCAGCCCAGTGCTTTACAGATAGTTTTGCTGGGGTAGGAAGCAGAAGTGATGCCCTGAGCTCTACAGCTTCCAGATGTTGGACAGGAACAACTCAACTCATCATCTAGTGACCCACTCTGGTAGATGCCTGGTATGACAGGAGATGGAACCCAGGCAGTTTCCCTGTAAGAGGAAACATAGTAGAAATGCAGGGCCTTGGAGAGGGGAAGGACAGTTGTACCTAAGAAGTGAGATAGGGAGTTCCAGGGGAAACAACATAACTAACATTATAAGTGAATCACTGAGAAGAGACACACGGGCAGCTCAGAGATGTGGAGAATGGATCCAGTCCCCTTTCCATTGGGTCTGCCAGTGAACTCCAGTGGGAACCTCCTAAAACCTTCACAAACCTTCACACAGTAGCTAAGCACAAACATTTCCAGCTGAAAGGTGCAAAGAAATAGCAGGAAATAATGTTGTTAGCATCCAGGCAACTAGGATTTAGACTGAAAGATCTTTCTTAAGTGTAACATTAGCTTCAGTGCCTGGCCATGCAGTATAATGCTCATGTAATCATTTATAACACAATCTAGGTGAGTGTGATAGATCACACATCTATGTTCATTTAGATTTTGGTTGTTGTTTCAGCCACCAGAATCCCTTCCAATATTTCCAGGAAACAGAGGCACCATTGACTGCAAGGCCAGTAGAAGCATTATCAATGCTTTAGAAGGGAACCAGCAGAAATTCACACAAAATCCTAATATTCTTATTTATCTTGCTTGTCTTGCCACTGGGATTCCCACCCCTTTCAATGGCAGTAACCAGGAGTATGATTTCACCTTCACAACCAGCTGAAGATGATGGAGATTACAATTGTCAACAAGGTTATGATACTCCTTGCAAAATGATACAACCAATACGTAACCCTCCCTCAGCTGTTCTGTTCAGTGTATCAGTTCCTACTACTTCCCACTGAGATCTGCGGGGACAGGTTTAGTTCTCTCAATGAAATCGATGAGAGCAGGATCGGCGCCATAGGATCCACAACAAAAATCTTAAATCTTCTTGCTTAATTCCAACCTGCTTTCTTCAATTGAGCTTCTTGAGTCTCTTATTTAGCTTAAATAAGAGATGGTTAAAGGGTCACTTGATTACAGTCTGTAAGTACGTACATGGAGATAAAATATTTGATAATGGGCTCTTCAATCTAGCAGAGAAAGGTAGAATATGATCCAATGGCTGGAAGCTAGACAAATTCAGACGGGAAATAAGGCATACATTTCTAACACTGAATGTTATTTACCTTTGGAACAATTTACCAAAGGTCGTGATGGATTCTCCATCACTGATGATTTGTAAATCAAGATTGGATGTTTTTCTAAAAGTTCTGCTCTAGGAACTATTTTGAGGCAGTTCTATGGGCAGATGTTATACAGGAGAGTCAGACTTGATGATCAAAATGGTCCCTTCCAACCTTGGAATCTATTAATCTTTCTAGAGGAATATAACCGAGTGTAACTGAGATCAGAATCAGGCCCATTGACTTTCATGGGAGTTACCTGTATCTGGCCATGGTAGAATCTGTCCCTATATGTCTAAGGGCTGAGCCTCTGACACAATGGATGAGACGGGAGGCTTAGCATACTCAGAACTACCTGATCTTTCTTTCCTTCTCTGAGCGGTTATAAAACGTTGTGTCTCACTCTCCATCATTTAATGATCAGCCCTGGACAGCTCAGATGCATTAGAATGATCTCCCAGGCTCAGTTCATCTGGTTGTTAGTGCCGTGGATCCAGGGTAAAAATTAAACCAAGAGGGAACAGGACAAATTAAAAGTATAATTGGCCTTTAAAGGAAAATGAAAAAAGAGTCAGAACTCTAGTCTATCAAGTCCTGAATATTCCTCAGAGTTGCACCAGCTTCTGATTGCCTCTGTCTCATTTCAAATTGGAAAGAGAGAAAGAACATTTTCAGATGTAAAGGCCTGATCCAAAACCTGGGGAAGTCAGTGGGGCCCAGATCCACCGAGGGACTATTGTGTGAGATTCTCACTCTCTCTCTCTGGCTCAACTAATATTTAATTATTGCACTAAAGTGGAACAAGTTCAACAAGAGAGTAAGAGAGACCCACATCAAAACATCCCATAGCCCCGTGGTCAAGTGAACTAAGCTACTTTACACCAGTGGAGGATCAATCCCTTATAATCACTGCTAATAAACGGTGCTGCACTTAAAGCTGGATGTTACAGTGCAAGTCTAGCAGCTTCTTAACGAGCGTACAAAGTGCAGAAATTATAGATCTCAGCTCTACAAATGAATGAGCCATCCAGTAAATAAAAGTCCAAAGCAGCAAACACTGTTATAATAAAATCAAAGCTGACCTTTTAAAAAAGTACCTACTTCACTATCTTAACCTGTTGAAATGTTGATATTAACATGTTAGAATGGAGGTCATTCACATCGACACTTGTCTGGTTAGCAAGTATCTAAAAGAATTCCAGCATATCCTCCTATATCTTTATATGTGTGAGCATCAGGCCAAAATCTCTGCAAGCCTACATCCACTGAAGTCAATGCAATCACGGCATCTGAGAACGTGGCCCATTATATTCAATGTATTATTTCAAACCCTTCAAATAGCGCTACAGAACATTGTCATGGCCACTAGATGGCAACACTTACCCATGCTGTTCTGCAGCATCTGAAATTTCAGCTAAGTCGTTTATAACAAAGTTAACATGATAGTAAAACCACTCCACCCACTTGGAAGGAATGCAGATAAATCAGATGTGCCTACCCCACCCTCATCAGTTCTGCTCTTAATTATTCTCACCCCCTCCTCCCAGCCTTCCCAACATCCAAGGGACATGACGGGTGGACAGAGGTGTAATTTAACCTCCCTCCTTCGCTCTCACTGAAAATGTCTGGTGCCAACAGGAACCTGGACAAGCACCTACTCTCCTTAGTTCCTATTCTGCCTCCTGTCCCTTGGGAATCCCAGA